GCACGCGTATCTTCAAATATCTAAAAACACTATATATGAGAGAGAGAGCTCATCCGCTCAATTGTTAGACGGCTTATCTAATACATAATAGCACTATATATATATATATATATATATATATATATATATATATATATATATATATATATATATATATATGATAGAGAATTTTCTCGCTCAATTGTTAGCCTCCTTAATTACGACCTAATCTTGTTATATACTTAAAGTCTTATACCTAAAAGCATTACATATGAGATATAAATTATCTCACTCAATTGTTAGCCGGCTTTTACCCCACTGTAGGTGGGAGCCTTTGCGGCACTGGGGTAAATGAAAATGATGAAAATGAATTGTTAGCCGGCTTATTTTATTTTATATTTAAAAGCATTACATGTGCGAGAGAAAATTATGGCACTCAATTTTTTGCCGGCTTATCTTATTTTATCTTATACTTCGTACTTAAAAGCACTACATGAGTAGAGCAACGCTCTCTAACATTGGTAGGTAGTCACATTGCATAATAATTGGGGTAATATGGTATTTTTAATAGTGTACTCCTTTGGTATATATAAATATAGATAATTTTAAAAATATTAATAGAGGTTGTTCAATAATTTAAATTTTTATATATTCAATATTGGTCTCATATGAAAGATCACAAAAAATTATGAATTTTGATGTACTTTTTGTAAAAATTGAAGCAAAAATAAAAAAGTTATAACTTTTTAAAGAAAATAGTGGTATTTTATTAATTGGACCCCACTAATTACATCTTCACTCACTTCATTCCCTCGGATGTTTCGGTACATTTAATTTGAAGGGGAAGAAATTGGCCACATGTCATTTTAATAGGAAATGAGTGAATTAAGGATAGAGTGAGACATAAGATTCATTAAGGTCAAAATTGTCAATTAAGGAGCTATTTGTTTTCTTATATATAAATAGAATAGATGAGAAAAAATGTAGTTTATTTCTTTTTTTAATGTAAAGGATGTTTTTTTTATAATAAAATCGAAAAAAGGTACTCCCTCCGTCCCATATAGAGGTTCCCGGTTCAGTTTACGATATTTGATTGACGATAAAGCAACTTGATCCCTGTTCACACTCCGATTATTTTTAGAAAACAAAAATTATATATTCAGAAACTACATTAAATTCGCTACAAAGGCTGATAAAAAATATGTAAATTTCATAAAAATTTGATATAAAAAGCAAAAGGTTAAGAATGATTTAAGTTGACAATGTGAATAGTGGATGAGAACCTTTAAATGGGACGGAGGGAGTATAAGATAACATCCAGACAGTTGTGACAGATCTGATTGTGAACCCTGTGAATAGACATAGAATCAATCATCTCATACAAAGCAACCTGCAGATTCGCTAGAAAAATTATAGTTTCTTGAAATATAAATCTTATTACCTCTCACTAATTATTGCCCTAAATAGGAGCAAAAACGTTTTGAAATTCGTAAATAGGACTTTAATGTTTTTGTTCCCTAAATAGGAGTAATTCTGCCAAGTTTGAAAAAAATAAAATGACATGTTTAAAGCCTAGTAATGTCAAACTTGGCAGAAATTTACTCCTATTCAGGGAATAAAAAACATGATAGTCATATTTTGGAATTTCAAATTTTTTTACTCCTATTTAGAGAATTCTCTCATTTAAAGATTGTTTGGAAGTAATTAACTTTATCCTTTGACATTCTGGTAAACCGTTTTTTGCACATCAATTTAAAACACAAATATGAGCAGAAATATGAGCAGAAAAAGCTAGTTTTGAGTCATTGTCCAAACAATAACACACTCCATCCGTTCCAAAAAAGTTTGTCAAATTGATTTTTCTTGATCAACGATAATCAACTTTGATCAATAATATTTTTTAATACAATTATTTTGAATATGAGAATTATATTACAATGTCCCTATTTAAAAATATTTTTCATAAAAATATAAAATTTATAAATTATATACAAATATAATAATTAAAATCATTATTCAAAATTTATCTTCATTGACCAAGAAAAGTCAATATGACAAACCTTTCCAGGAAGAAAGTAGCATGAACAAATAATCTTTCATATTAAAACCTTAAAAAGATAATAAAGGTAATGCCACCAATAGGGTTCAAGAGCCTATACTTCATCTTCACGAAAAGAGTGTGATAAGTGCTCTTTTATGTGTCCTTAACTTAAGCCTCAAGTCCCTCAACTATGTTTCCTTTCATTATAAAAAATGACAAAGAGTGTTTTGCATTTACTTTTAATGAGCATCTGACCTATTTTATTGAGTATTAAGAGGCTAACAATGAGTATCACGACATGTACTTCATATATTCTATTTTTTTTTCTTTTTCTTATTTTTTCTTTTATAAAAACTTATTAAATTATATCTATAATTCACTCCTATTAATTTCAATATGTGAGTCTAATGTAATATATATGATACTTTTGAAATATGCATTGATATGACATTTTAAAAATGATCATAACATCAGTACCAAATGAGCATACATAACTTACGAAGTGCACATTGATATGAAAAGCGTAAGGTTTGTTAGCTGAACATCACAACATTTTAATTGAGCATCAGACCTCTGCTATTGAGATGAAAATCACGATTTCTGGTGAATCAGCACTAATGAACTTTAAATGAGCATCAGACCTATTATGTTGAGTATTAGGAGTAATATTAAGAATCGTGATCTCTGCTTCATAACTTCTAATTCACTTTCTTTTTGTTACTTTTTCTTTAATAATAACTTAATAAATTATATTTATAATCAACTCCTATGAATTTCAATATGTGAATCTAATGTAAAACAGTACTTTTAAAAAATGCATTGATATGACATTTAGAAAATGAGCATAGGATGAGTACTAGATGAGCATACGTAACTTACAAAATGAGCATTGATGGAAATCACAATTTCTGTTAAATGAGCATTTATGAAATTTTAATGAGCATCAGGCCTATACAATTGAGCATATATAACTTACAAGATAAGCATTGATATAAAAGTTCTAAGTTTTGTTCGTCGAGCATCAAGACATTTTTAGTGAGCATTGAACCTCCGTTATTGAGTATTATAATCGTGCTATTGGGTATCCTGATTTGTGATCTCGTGTCTATAATCAAATATGAGATTTTTGAAATGTTCATTGAAATGAGCATAACTTACAAAACGAGTTTTAAAAAATTCAAAAGCTAATTTGTGTACATTCATTCTTTTTAGACGCTTTACTAATTTGAGTTTAAAGTAAAGCTCATTTCTAATGTGCTCGGAATTAATATATAAAGCAAAAGAAAGAAGGAAACAAGAAAAGAAAGAAACGAAAAGAATAAAAGAAAAAAGACAAAAGAAAAGAAAGTAAACTAACTAAAAGTAAACCAAAAGTAACGAAAAAACAAAATCAAAAAGATAAAACACAAAATGTAAAAGAAAGAAAGAAGAGAATGGTGGTTGGAAAGGAAAGAAAAGAGAATGGCGGTTGGAAAAGAAAGAAAAGAGAATGGCGGCTGGAAAACAAAGAAAAGGAACGGGGAGTGGAATGGCGGCAGAAGAAAATGAAACACAGCTGGCACAAAGAAGAGAGAAGTTGATAATAATTTCAAAAATACCCGGATGTACAGTGAGGACCGTACATCCGGGTGTACGCTATAACTTGCCCGAGTGATTTCCCTTTGCATTTCCCTTATCAAAAATCAATAAGGATATTATCCCAAAAGAACAAAGGAGGGTATTTATATAAGGGGGAAAATGAGGAAACACTGGGAATAAGGGACACCTTCCCTTTTTTGGAGGAACACTGGTAGGGACGTTGGACGGAACGACGTTCCCTCTCAGCGTTCCTGCATTAACACAAAATTTTTACTACCCGACAGAAAGTTCAACGGTGGGAGGAACACGAAGGTGATGTCGTTCCCAAGGGAGCGTTGGTAGGAACATCGTTCCTTGTCGGTGTTCCTACCCCTGGGACTATATAATTGAAATTTGATGGAACGAATAGGATGAACGTCTGAGGGACGTCGTTCCCTATGGCGTTCCTATGTATTTTTCAACCAAAACACATCCGACGTCTTCGTTTCTTTCTTCTTTGTGCACCGCTTCATCCTAGGGTCTTCAAACCATCCATTCATGCTCCCAAGACTCTTCAAAATGCCCGATTTTCACTCTTACGATGCTCAAATCCTCTTCATGGTTCCTACAACTAAAGTATTGCACAAGTAAAACCAAATGGGAGGAAAATCATCAAAAGTTAACAAACAAAGACCACATTTTGTGAGAAAGTATTAGGTATCTTCACACCTATGAACATGCACTACGAGTCACTGACAACGACAATGTTAAGTCGACGATGATTGAGTGTGGTTGTCGGGTAGTGATTTCATTTTTTAGTTATAACAGATAAAACTTCAAAATAATGATATTGTATTAAGTAAGGGAGTAATTAATGTAACAAGTCACTATTTAGAAAAAAAGTCATCTATACATTCTTTATATGGAAAGTCGCCTACATTATACTCCCTCCGTCCCTTATAACTTTGCCAACTTTCCTTTTTTGGATGTCCCACTAGCTTTGCCACTTTTCATTTTAAGTAAAGAAGTTTTGGTTCCAGTTAATTCTCTCTCCTCTGCACAAACCTTAATCACACATTTTTTACTTTATTAATCTACGTGTTGATCAAACTTGGCAAAATTATTAAGGACGGATGGAGTACTACATATCAAATAAATGGGAAAATTCGAATAAAACAATGTAAAAAGTTGTTTTACGTACTCTTTTTGTGAACATGTTTGTGTAAGACCTCCGGACAAAAAAATTGTTTGTTCACAAATGTTGTACTAGTGATTATATAAAAATGTCTGATGAAATCAAAAGCTACAGAAGAAAACAAAATCCTATGATAGAGACATCAGTGGCAAAATTTTTAGTGGTATATTTGCATTTTTGTTTAATTAGTAATATTCCGATAAAAAGGTCCAAAATAAATGGGGTGTGTTTTTTCTATTGCTAAAGTAATAATTTTTTGTGTACAAAATTTGTACACCCTTGATAAATTTGAACGTAATTATCTGTATATACAAAGAATTGGTGAATGAACTAGGGGATGCATAATGCACAAATAAATGAATAATTATGTACAAATCTTGTATACAAATGGAGTTTTGATACTTGGGGTTAAACGGTTAACCGATGCTTCCGTGTTCTCAAAGTCAGTATAAGTACTGGTTTTGGTTGGTAAAAAATGCTCACACCCTCCTTGTTTCTACTTTCTTAGCGGGCTGACTCTCTCTCCTTCTGATCCTTTTCGGCTTAATCAACAATCGTTTTGGAAACTCAATCTCCCTTCTTCAAACCTTCACCACATAACTACTCTTTAATCTTCCATTTCCGACGCTTCGGCCTTCTTACCCCCCTTTGATCCGGATCATTTTCTCGGGAATATCGCCTATTGTTTGCATCCTAATCATAACCCACCATGCGCTCTATCGATCCTGTCTTCGTCGAATTTCGGAGAACATCCAGGCTTCCATTATTCTTCCACTTCAATTAGAGCTGGGATTTTGGGGTTACAGTAAGCGGTTGGATTGGAGCTAGGGTTTTTAGCATTTTAGGTTGAAATGAGGATTGAAGAATTGGATGATAGCAGTGACAGTAAGTGTAGTGTTGAAAGTGACAGGAGTCTGATGATAGTACGGGTCGACGCAAAGAGAGCGCTGGTAGGAGCTGGAGCTAGGATCCTCTTTTACCCGACTTTGCTGTACAATGTGTTCCGTAACAAAATTCAGGCAGAGTTTCGATGGTGGGATCAGGTTGATGAGGTCTGTTTCCAATCTTTTCACAATTAATTAATACACCGTATTGAGTTTATGGGTCGAAGCGTTAGATAATTTAGCTTCTGAACAGTGAAAGTTTATTAAATTGGCCTTTGTTCCTTCTGGAATTCCGCTGCTAACTGTTAAATGGTCTATTTGTGAGACCAGTGCTTGTTTGGGACTGATTATTTGCTTTACTCATTGTCTGTGATCACATATTCGCATTAGTTGAACTTTTTCTGTTACTTTATTTTCTTTTTGCATATCCTTATATGTTAACGTAATTGCTTAACTATGAAGAAACATGTTAGAGTTTAAAGTAAATAGAATAAATTAGGTTTCAAGTAATATTTTCTTGATTAGAAAGAATGATAGGTCTGCTTTAGTGGCTTTAGATTCATACTTATGGTCAGATGTCATATAGTAGGGATAGATAGAAGCTGATTGAGTGAGTTTCATGTACTTTTCTTTTGTGTGTACAATGTGGTCCTAAGCTGCAGAGATAAATGTGTATCTTTTGGTTGTTAACTTGCTTTTTAACAAGTTTTCCAAATGAATAATACGCTTCAAATTCTTTTTTTTGTTGGTTAGTTTATTTTGCTAGGAGCAGTGCCATTTCCTAAGGATGTTCCACGACTGAAGCAGCTTGGTGTTGGTGGTGTAATCACTCTGAATGAAGCCTATGAAACTTTGGTTCCAACATCTTTATATCATGTGAGTTTAATGTTTAATATCCTCTATAAAAATATGGTTGTCATATATTCATATTCCTTGTTTTCAATTCTTTCTCTAGAAAGAATTTAATGGCATGTTTTGTTCTTAAGAGGTTAAGAACATTTTTAGATAACTTCTCTTTGATGTGCCTTCACATTTTGCTTCTGGAATATATTCTTTCCTTGGAACATACCCGAAAAATTGCACGTGTAGCAAGTTTTAGGGTCTGTTTGAAAGACGAAGGAAAGACTATAGGAGACAATTGGAAGAAAAGAAAATGTTACGGAAAACAAGATAGACTAAAACTCAATAAATTTCGTTTAAATACACATTCAATTATAGTCTTTTTATCTACTCACGTCTATTATTTAAGCACTTAGAAATCTAAATATATGTAAACTTAAATAGAAGACATTCAGATTTCATTTACCTTGTCAAAGGTAAAACCAAACATAAGAGAATCAATATCCTTTGCATCTTTTTCTTCAGATCCCTAGCCTTTTATGGGGTTCAAGCATACCCTTTATATTGTCAGCAACTTTACATCTTTTGAACTTTTTAAATTTATTTAGGAACATGAGATTGAGCATCTTGTGATTCCAACTAGGGATTACCTCTTTGCCCCCTCACTTGGCGATATTAACCAAGCAGTGGACTTCATTCATAGTGAGTATACATCTAATTTGAAACTATTTATCTACCACTGTCAAGACCCTACTTTCTGTTGTTTGACTCTCTTTGTTGGTTACAGAGAATGCATGTCGTGGGCGGACTACATATGTGCATTGCAAAGCAGGGAGAGGAAGGAGCACTACTATTGTGCTTTGCTATTTGGTGTTTGATCTTTTGCTACGGCTTACTATAGCTTGTTTATTTACTCTCAAACTCTTGGGACGGTTATTGGGGTTTTTTATGCTTCCATACTTTTCAGGTGGAGTATAAACACATGAGCCCTGTAGCAGCACTGGAATATGTCAGATCTATCAGACCTAGAGTACTATTGGCTCCTACCCAGTGGAAGGTAACCACTTAAGTTGACCAGATATTATTAACCCTGACTCGGGCACTATACACATTATTTAGCAGAAAGTAAATTGACCTTATTTAAGTGCTCACAATTACCTCTTAGCGGTCAATTGGATTTGACCTACTGGTAGTATTTACGATTTGTACAAAAACACTTGACTTGTAAGTTTTCATATGAAAATTTTACCCCTTAGTACATTGTACAAAAATTTGACCTACTGGACTTGACACAATGTATACAAACATATACTTCCTCCGTTCTTTTTTAGTTGCAACAGTTCAACATTTCACACCGTAAATATATCTTATTCTCTATTAGTAAAAAAAAATTAAAAATCAGATTTTAAAAATTTGTAATGAAATGAATTTGATAAATATTTTTGTAAAAGAATAATTTTCAAAAAATAATAGTGTAAAATGTAGTTAAAGTAGAACATGTGAATAGTGTAAAATTCAACATGTTGCGATTAAAAAAAGGAGGATAGTACAAAGTAAATAATATGTTTGAATTAATAAACTAAATGCATTTTCAGTTTTTCATTTTAATTTTATAAAGTAATACATAGACCTGGTTTTATTACTAGTATTATACTACCTACTACTACTACTACCAAAATGCGGGGTTGTTTCTAGTGTCTTATCCGCAAAATGCTTCCCATTATGGGAAAAAGATGTTCTTTTGTAGCATTCTGGCAGTTCGGACCAAACCAGCAAGGCTAAAGCATTTACCAAACACTCACTTTAGCATCTAGACAGAGTCAAAATAGTGAAGTCAGTAAAAGTCGTTAATTTTTGGTCAAAATTCTATTTGCTAAACAAGACTGTCAATTATATTGACGAATGGACACAGTAGCCTCTCATAGAAGTTTTAATGACATTTGGTCTGCCATTCATGTGTGTGTGTTAAACAGGCTGTTCAAGAATTCAAGCATCGGCGTGCAGCTTCAGCTGCATTTTCTCCTGTAGATGCGGTATTGATCACAAAAGCAGATCTTGAAGGGTATCATAGCTCACCTGACAATAAGCAACTTGCAGTTGTGCCCAGAATGGCGCGCACACGGACACGTCCCATGATGGCAAAACTATCTTGCCTCTTCACAACACTGAAAGTTTCCGGAGTTTGTGGGCAGCCGTTTATGCGGCGGCTCACTGAGGCTGGTGCCTGCTAGGCTTCTGCTGCTGAAGAGAGAGGGTATTCGATTAATAATAAGTAAGTTGGTACAGGAATTAGTGATATATCTCTCATATATTGCGCTCAAGAGTGAATTGATTGAAGATCCTTCCACGTTGTAATAAAATCGTAGTAGTTGCTGTAGCCTGTAAGTGATATTAATAATCGATTTCTATATATATGTGTGTATATGTGTTTGCTATTTGTTATAACACGCAAGTTTCAACTTTCAAGTTTGAAGGCAATGTGGTTTCAAATCACTATTTTGGTCGAGTGTTTGAAGACATTGATCAAGTTATTTTGCAGTCTGGATCTAGTTCCTGCAAATTTGGGCTTCATTATAAACTTTTTAAATTATTTTCACGGAGCAAGATTGGGAAAAGGCATCTGTTATTAGCCATTGGAGGACTTAGCTTGCAATTTTCAAGCAAACAACTTATTATTGGAGCATTGCTTTTCTTTTTATGGTGCTTTTCTCTAAAATTTTTGGTAATAAAAAGGACCATAAACAGAATAATGATATTATGTTCTATAAGACGACTGATTTTAATACTCCGTAATAATAAAATAAGTTCAAGGATCGAGCATAAGTGCTCAAACCTAAGTCTCAAGTCCTATTCAGAGTCGTTTGGCTTTACCTGAGATATAGATCCGGACCGAACATTCCGTGCGATGCGAATGCTTTCATTGTGGATTTGAGGATAGATTATATGGCTACATTGTTACACGGTCTGTACAGTACGTGATCTCAATTATCGTTGTATTGATCAAAGAAAATAGGAAACTCTTCTTATTGTCCAATTATCTGTTCATCTTCCTGTTCGAACATCTATTCTTCTTATTTGCTGATCTATACGGTCATCTATTCATCTTCTTTGCCCATATGTGTTGGGATAATTTTAATCCTAATTCTCTATTGTGTTCGGTCTTTTACAATTAAGGTAGGATGACAAAGCAATTAGACGTGACTTTCATTTTTATTAAACTCTTGTAAGAGTATTGGGTTTGGGCCTGTCCGGATTAGCTTCTAGTATTGGGCCTATTCTTCTGTCCAATGTTTAGAATGCTTATCTGCTTGAGTTAGAAGGATATACTATCCTCCGTTCTGTTTTAATCGCAACATGGTGTATTTTACACTATTCACATGCTCTATTTTAACTACATTTTACGCTATTATTTTATGAAAATTATTGTTTTTTTTGAAATTTTGTTCAATTCATCTCATTACAAATTTTTAAAATCTAATTTTTAATATTTTTTTACTAATAGAATTAAGATATAATAATTACAGTCAAAGACGTGTGTTGACATATGTGAAATGTTGACCGTTGCAACTAAAAAAGAACGGAGAGAGTATATTATATCCTTTAACTCATTGTAAAGTAAGTTCCGATGCATTTTCTGAGAGAGAGATCGGCGTGACGCTGCAAGTAATTTTGGCATAATTAATTTCTCTAAAAAAACCTTGACATATTAACTTTAGTCGATATTCTATATAATAATGATCTAAACAATATTTATATATGAATAAAAAGTTCTTTGTTTGCCTAGTTTCATTTAATTTCACTCACTTAAATTTACATTGATCACTTAAATTCGCTACATCCAAACAAATCCTTAGACTTTCGCTCTTGTAAACTTCTCATTCTATACAAAGATTCTCATTCGTTATTAGATTTTCTTAATCTTTTACTTCATATGTTTAATTTTTGTTAAATTTATGTTTTTTTTTGCAATTATATAAAATTTTAATATACTCCCTCTGTTCTTAAATTTATATATCTTTTACTTGACCATCATTTTACTCTTCTTAATATACTCTCTTTTCTATTTTATCATTTACGCTACACACTCTAAATTGTTCCTACTGTTTTTATTTTAAAACTTGTGCCTAAGCCTAAAGGAAAAATTAATAAAGAACGGAGGGAGTATATAATTTTTATTTACTAAAAATAATTTTATTATTGATAGTGATTAATTAAATTTATAACCACTTAAACATCTTAAGCATTATTGTAACCTTAGGACTGAGGAAGTAAAAAAGTAAAAAAAAAACAAAAATGATGTTTGTACACACTTTTGTACACACCTATGTCTGTGAAAGCTTTTTTTTTGTCTGTGAACATCGATTCACAGACAATGTTTTGCACAAACAGAATATTGTCTGTGAACCGGATTTACAAACAAAAAAAAAGCTTCACAAACATGATGTGTATAAGGTGTGTATAAGGGTGTGTTGAAAAAAAAATTGGAAAAGAGGAAGTAAAAAGTAAATTTTATACGGAGCATCTCAACAAACAGTATCAATCGCAAATCGAGCTTTTCGATCGATATCAATCGTTGGACATGATAAAAAAATCAACATTTTAGCAACCTCCGGAGAGGTAGGGAGAAGATCACGAATTAGAGGCCGGAAGAAAGATGGGGATTCGATTCATATTAATGGTGAACAAGCAAGGGCAGACCAGGCTAGCTCAGTATTACGAATACCTCACAATAGAAGAAAGACGCGCTCTTGAGGGTGAAATTGTTCGTAAATGCCTCACCCGCAACGAGCAACAGGTCCTCTCTTTACGCGCCCTCTACCCACCTTAGAGATTTACTCACTTCTGAATTGCTAATGATCAAGATAGATTTATTATTCCTGTGATCTGTGTTTTTAGTTCGTCTGAAAACGATATTCCGTATGATTTTTTATTTTATTTCGGTGTGTGTACTTTTTAAAAATAGTTTATGGTGACCTGTAAACATTATTAGCATATCAAATGCTGAAAGTCTGTTGGTAGAGACCTGTAGTTTGGAGCCTTCTGAATGAATTTTCATGTAATTAGTGTTCAAGAGCATGTACATTATTACAGAATTTGAGGTGGTTCTATAAGAGCTGTTACAGCACAGCAGTTGCTTGTGATCAGGTAGGAATCCCATTTATAGTGTCTGCATGAAAAATTTAGGTTCACAAATTGGTTAGGCTCATAGGATTGATCATGAAATGATGGAAGTGCTGCCTTCCCTGTCATTTGAGCTTATGAATGAGAGGGTCATAAATGATGTAAGAATGAATAGGTCCCAAAAAGATTCATAGAATCGAGCTGATCATGGAATGCTGGAATTGCTGTTTTCCCTATCATTTGAGCTTATGAATGAGAGGTTCATAATAAATGATGTAAGAATGGATGGGTCCTCGAAAGTTTTTTAATTGGAATGCAAAAGCTAGGCTTCAATTGTTTAGATAGGTGCTGTCATGCTGTTTTTGCATCTGAAGATTAGTAAGACTATATAATTGCTCATCTCCAGCAAAAGGGAAAAACACGCAGTAAAGTTTATGCTTCGGTGATCCTTAGAATGTGTGATCATAATATGGTAGTTAATTTTATGCTTCGGTGATCCTTAGAATATGTGGTCATAATATGGTAGTTAATTTTATGCTTCAGTTAATTGCTTTGCAAGGGAATGTAATTTTTTTAACCAGTTGTTGGATAATGGATTGATTTATGTTAGCCTACCCCAAAATCTTTTGGGAATAAGGCTTGGATGTTGTTGTAATTGTTGGATAATATTTTATGTTGAATTTACATTTACTGCTTTATTGATAACTGATAGGTTTTTTCCTGGATTATTCTGAATGCAGTGTTCATTTGTGGAGCACCGAAACTACAAAGTAGTGTACAGGAGATATGCATCACTGTTTTTCATGGTTGGAGTTGACAATGAAGAAGTAAGTTTAGTTACACTGGTCATCGATGTCATGCTATGTTTGCTACTATGCTGTTCTGTTATGAAATACTTCCCACTGTCATAACATATACTAAGTTGATAAATTAATCAAAACTTTTAATACTTTCCCTACAATGCCGTTACTTAAAAGTCACCCTCTCATTTATGTTCCTATAGGGAAATGGTAAAGTAAATAATGCAAGATTGCAAGAAGGGTAAATGGAGAAAAAATGTCATAAATGGAAATATATAATTAACCATGAAAAATTGCCAATGTGGACAGATTAATATGAACAGATGGTTAGCTCATTATTTAATCACCAACGAATTGAGCTTGAGGTTAGATTGTTAGAACTACAGCTGGCTTTCAATGAACCTAATTTTGTTATTTGCATGCTATGTGTGTGTTGCAGAATGAGCTTGCCATTTTGGAGTTTATTCACCTGCTTGTGGAAACAATGGATCGCCATTTTGGCAATGTGGTGAGCTGGAAATGAATGATTTATTTTAAATAGTATTATAGTACCACTAGACTAGATTCCTCTTTTCAATTAATTAACATCATTTTTGGTCTTCATAGTGTGAGTTGGATATCATGTTCCATCTGGAGAAAACACACTTCATGCTGGAGGAGATGGTAATGAATGGGTGCATTGTTGAGACTAGCAAGTCCAACATTCTGTCTGCAATACAGCTCATGGAAAAAGCATCATAAGTTCAATTGCTTTGAACCTAACACCACTTGAGTTGTCATGGTTCCATTATCCATGTTGAATTACTTCTATCTATTGCTTTTATTAAAGATCTTTGCAGTTCTTATGTGTAGTTTATACGGATAAAACACTTCAATCATATTCAGAATGTTAAATCTTTTATTATCTTGTACAAGCTAATTACATACCTTCTCTGTCCCTTGAATAAGATTAACTTTTTTTATCCAATATAAAATACATCTTTTAACGTTCAGTTTTTTCTTTACTTCCTAAATGGATATCAACACTATCTTAAAGGCTGAGCACAAACAAATGTGAATGACAGTATGATCAGATGGCAGCTGGACTTCCATCTTTCCTTGGATCACTCACAGCAGTGAGGATGCCGTGGAACGTTTGATCATTCAACACTTTCCCGTATTCAGGCAGGTTCTGAACAACAAGTTGGCACATGGCTCCTCCATTTTGAGCCTGAAGCTGATGACCCCTTTCTTCCAAGAAACGCTTCCTCTCCCCCGAGAGCTCAATGTGATCGCCGTCTATGATAGTCCAGTTTTCATACAACACCACATTTGGAATTAACTGCACATAACACAATCATCAATGGCGACTTGTAAACTTTCTTACATTTTTTCACTTTCAGTGCCATGATTATTTGGTCATTTTACTTCTGGTTAGGGATGGACCAGTTCCAATTCTGGACCAGCCAGTAACAAATCATTTGAAGCGAGGATTTAGATCTGGAATCAGGCATAACCAGTCCAATTCGGGGATGGTTCTTGGGCTGGTTCCAGGCCAGTAGTAGCTAACAAATATACCAGACAGGTTTGATCATATGTTGGAGGACCTGTAATGGGGTTGGACCTATTCCCTGTACTGGTTCCAGTCCAGAACCAGAAAACCGGTTCTTGTGAATAAAAAACAGTCTTAGAACTTGGACTAGGTCCATCCCTAGTTTTGGTCCCTGATTTTGAGTTTTCAACATCCCCACACTATTGATTTTTTCCCACATTTGTTATGGAGTATTATTCTGATCTTTTGTTCTGTGAGGAAATCAGATGGGTAAGTTGTTGGAAATACAAAGTGTCAAAAAAATCTAGTGATCTACCAGAAGTTGAAACACTCAAAGTCAGAGATAAAAAATGAATCACCCTGGTAGTTGTGCACCCGAAAAAGGAAAATTTTCCGAAGTGCCTCAATTTATGAAACTAGAAACTGTGAAACCTTGTGATAAACTCTTGGACTCTGAACTGCTACCAAGGGATCCATGCCCAACACAAAATGATTTAGGAAAACTTGAGTTACTGCTGCTATTATGTTAATCCCACCAGAACCTCCAATCACACCAGCCAACTGATTATCCTGTTAACAAGAGCATAAAAAGGAACTAGTTAAATGGAATAGGTAATAAAGTTAGTAGTTAAATAACATTCGCAGTAATTTGTTTTTGAAATAGTGATTAGCTGATACCTAACTGTATAGCCATTTTGACCAACTCATTGCATTACCAAAAAGTTGTTTAGTAGGAATAAGCTTTAAAAATAATAGCTTTTCTGAGAGAGAAAGCTATAAGCTCTTCCACCATGCTGGGCTACAGCATTTTGTAAATTGCTTTCCGAACCAAATAAGCTTTTTACCGAACTGCAAAGTGTTTTTTTAGCTTGTCAGACCTCTAACCAGTGGTGTAGGTAAGATGTTACAACGGGCTGGGCCAGTACAAAGAAATTTTCAAATTTTATTTATATAATTTTTTACACTATAAACCCCAGTTTTTTAAAAATTTGGGGTGGGCCAGGGCCCCTGCCTCTAACAGTATAAAAGAAGGTATAAGCTATCCAAAAAACAAAGCTGTTTGCTGATCATGCCCAATTTGTACCTTAAAAACAATTATGGGGGCCATCGAGGATAATGGTCTTTTGTTGGGACTAATGAAATTGGTGGGAGATTGTGGGAGCTTATCAGGGGATGCTTCTGTAGGTATTGAGAAATCTCCCATTTCGTTATTGAGCAGAATGCCGGTTGAAGGAGACATAACACCAGCTCCAAAAACATAGTTTACTGTCGTTGTCATTGACACTGCATTACGATCTGCATCTACAATGCATAAGTGGCTGGTTCCATGGTCCCGAAGTTGACTCCACCTGAAACATGAATCATAAATCAAAGATTATCACAAGAGAAACTGTTGGGACCTGTCAGGTAAGTGTTCTTTTGCTGAAATGACTGAATCTGCTTAATTTTCTAAAGAAGAAAAGCATTTGGATTTTGGTAACATCCACTTCAGCCAGAAGTCAAAAGCTGCTTATTCGCCTGATAAGCAGAATAAGGCTACCAAACGGAGACTTTACGTTTCACCTCAATATAAATTAACCTCGGCATGTAGTATTCAGATGGGAAGGTGGTGTTGTCATAAATCTGCTGTCGGATTTCCTTTGCAAAAGAAGGGGAAAGCATGTCTGAGATTGTGCTGCCCACGTCAACAAAATCAGGATCACCCAGGTTCATTCGTACTCCAAGCATGTGTTTCAATGCTTCAATCATGCGGTGAAGACCTAAAGGACCTTTTGCAGCATTAGAAGTTGGATATCCTTCTAAGACTTTGAGAATCTGTAATTACCCAATGCATAGACCTTGCTAGATTAGTCTTACAAATTACATGGGTAAAATATATTCTTGGTCCCATGAGTCCATAACTATAGGAGTTTCGAAAAGTAGTCTCTTTTGATTTGTGTTGGCAGTTCAAATCCAGGATTCAATTAATCAATATTAATGATATTTTTATGAAATAAAAAAAATAAAAGCAGTATTTTGAAAATATGCTAATTGTATTTATTTAATATTCTTAAAAATACATTTCCACCACAAATTTGAAAATTGTTTATTCACTTCTTGGCAAGCATTATAGATTTAAACTGTCAAAAATTAATCTGATTGCCTCATGGGGCTACCTTTGTTAACCCCTATTGTAAAAAAGGAAAAGCTCACCAGGGAGAGACCGACAGTTCCGGACGACGGAGGTGGCATGCCGAAGATGGTATATCCCATGGCATTAACAACAACCGGGTCATGAACTTTGACCCTATACTTTTTTAAATCATCAATTGTCAATATCCCACCAGCCTTTTGTACATCTTCTACAAACTTTTCACCAATCAATCCACCATAGAAGGCCTCAGGTCCTTGTTCTGCAACTGCTTCTAGAGTGTTGCTAAGTTCTACATTGTAGCACACGTCTCCCCCTTGCAACAATTTCCCGCCTGGTGCATATACTTGTTGAAGGCCAGGGTCCTTCATTATAAGGTCTTCTTTTTTAGCTATGTCAGTTGCTAGATACGGAGCAATAGTAAAGCCATACCTAGCAAGTTTAATGGCTGGTTGGAATAAAGTATACCAAGGGAGACGCCCGTGTTTTAACCAAGCCACATGAAGCCCAGCTAGCTCACCCGGAACTCCCATTGAAAGTGCTCCCTCTTCCTTGGAATTGCTGTTCTTCTCATACATGTTCTGTTTGGTGCCAAAAAAACTCAAACTAATGAATCAAATAGCATAGCCACAATACGCGCACTCTAAAGGTAGTTCGTTTGTACGCACACATGTACAAATACTTATCTATAAAAAGTCACCAAGTATGAACCTTTGGTACCTGTTAATTAATGTTTTTAACCTTCGGCCCTCCTAATATAAATTTCTGACCTTTGACCCCTGTAATACAAAAGTTTTGGCTCTCTGTAGGTCTGGAATCACTTATTTCATTCATAAACCATGAGTTAAAGTGTGTACCCAGTGCTGAAACTTCTTGCATACCCAAAACCACCTTTCCCTCACTTTTCACAAGGAGGTAGATTATGACCATGGACCTATTTAAAGTTGTTCTTCCAATCTAAAACGTTAACAATCTAATATAAGGATTATTCCAATGCCTTAAATGTTAATTTAAGCTTACTATCTTCGAATACCATATTAAGACTTTAGGTCTATCCTAAACAACTTTGATTTGTATTTTTAATTTTTGGATATGAGATAGCTTAACAAGACCTCGAAAGCACAAGGGGAGAAGCCTCACCATTTGTCTGAGATCCACCATTTCATTAGTTAATATCAGAACTCATACAATTTGAACTACTTTTCTTAACTTAGGCTCTGTTCTGTAATTGGTAGTCATCAGTCACATGTTCGGCATACTCATAAAATAAGCATAATAACCGAGTGTTGACCTATTTATACGGTTGAAGCAGATGTTTCATTTTAGAAGGCTCAAATATTTCAATTAAATAATTTTTTTCAAACAGGTCTTTAGCCTCATCTTTGGGTCATTTGGAAACAGTCTCTCTGTGCTTTAGTACCGGGGTAAGACTGCGTACATCCGACCCCCCTTACCCCACCATAGGTGGGAGCCTTTGCGGCACTGGGGTGATGATGATGATGAGGCCTTTAGCCTCATCTTAGGGGAAGAAACAAGTTTAATGCATAAGAGATAAAGTCGAAGCACCTGTGAAGCAGCTAAAGGAGCAGTTTCCCTCATGTCAATTGCTTCTACCTGGAAAGGAGAAGAGGAACTGACAAGCATAAAACCACCACCCCCGACTCCGCTAGAGATCGGATTGACAACCCCTAGACAGAGAGCTGTGGCAACAGCAGCATCAACTGCATGACCACCCATCCTAAGGATGGATACGCCTATTTCCGAGCAACGGCCATCATCAGCAGCCACAACTGCTCTCTCTGACTCCACAATATTAGAGTTTCTGGTTTGTAACCTCTCATTTGCCTTGGTACCCTTTCCGGAGACCCAAATGCCCGAGCTGCAACATCCAGTAAGGCCTACACATGAACGCCCATAATATAGGGAGATCTTCTTACCAGTTTTTCCTGACTTGGATCATGCTGACCTTCTTATATATAAACACACTACATGTATGTTCTGAAGCTTTTCCACTTTGATTAGGAAAGTCCTTCCAGGAGTCATAACATATTAACATACGGATCAATCACAAGAAACGGTATACCAGTCATATTAAAAACACAGGGTGGAGTATCCAAGTAGATACTTATATGAAGAAATTTAATAAAAAACATAAGAAATTTAGAAACTTTATGCACATATATTTATAATTTAGAAACTTTATGCACATATATTATAATTGGAGCTGTTACGCAACTAGACGAATCCATCCATCACCGAATTAACACCAGGTCATATAAACTTATATGTCTCTTGATTTTTACAGAAGGAACTTCTGACACGTCTAATAAGATTAGTCAAGTAGAGGATGAGATTTCCTTACAAGCGATGGCTATGAGGGAAAGAAAACCCCATAGAGCTATCCTCCATCCCTTGTTGAAACCCAGTTCTCTGCAAGTGGAGAGTCTGGTCTCCAAACTCTGCTGCTTCCCCATCTCTCTGAATAATTTGGAGGATAGAGAAAGTAATAAATTGCACTTGCACTTAATGCCAAAATTTGCTTGGTAGGAAACTAATACATGGAGGATTATAGATTTGTGTGTAAATTTATGAATTTCCCATCTTCCAAAATATAAATAAATGTTAAAATAAATAGAAAGTCCTAATTTTATTCAAGATGGCAATTGCATGATTTCCAATTAACTCCTGTTTTTTTGGAGATTATATTTTCTCACACAAGTAGAAGACTGCTCATTTTCTTATAATTACACATTAAAGAACAACTCCATTAAGACTACTAGTAATAGAATTAATTTCACTAATTGGTTCAACTTATTTCAAAAATTAAAAAAATTATAAAGGTTATTAATAATAGAATTAATTTTCACCAATTGGTTCAATTTTTCTTTAAGGACTCATAGGATAAGAAGTATGAACATGTACTCATACATATATTACATCAATTGCTAAAAAACTGTAACATGTTCAATTTTACACTATTTACATGATCTACTGAGACTAAAATTTATTTATTAATGTATTAGATATTTATTGTTTGACAAATATTGTTAAATACATCTCATTTTAAAATTTCAGAATATGATTTCAATAAATTTTTATACTTATAGTTAGTTAAATATATTAATGGTTAAAATTGCGAATGTAAAAGTAAAAATGTTGCAACTAAAAAAGATCGAGAAGAGTATATTTATATTCAAATGATAAGAAATATGCTTTTTGGATACCCTATGTATTTAAAGACTCGGGGGAAAACAATATGCTTATGTATTACTCTATATTTGGGTCTTATAGTACTTGAAACATTAGTTATTCTACATTTAGCATATTTATCGCCAGTACGAGTGTACTGACCCCTTCGTGGACCCTCACCATTTTTAGGTTGAAGCTAAAACTTGTTACTTGCACCTTTGCGCGGGTGAAGTACTTTTAAGGAAGACGCGGTTTGTGCTTTCTTTATCGATTTGAAATTATAAACAATGTTCATGGATATTTGTGTTTGAAATACTGTGTTTTGGGCTTGTGAACCCACGTTTTGGCTGGATGTGGCCCATGATGTAACAATGAATATTTCCGCTATTCATTTGATTCAATGTGATGTTGTTGTGTATGTTTACCTACCGAGTATTATATATGAATTATGTTCATGGATGTCTTATATACTCATTTCAGTATATCATACAACCCATTTCAGTATGTCATACAACCCAATTTTATGATCTAACATGTTTTGGCCAGATGCGGCCCTTGAATTATGGTTTAAACCTCATGCATACTCATTTCGGTATATCATACAACCCATTTTTATAATCCAAACATGTAACATGTTCACTAGATTAGATTCATTTACTAAATTATTAGTAGATTTAGCAAAGAAAATATACCAATTTTACTATAAAAAACATTTATAATTTGTCAGTCTTGATTTACAAAAAATATTTTACTCCTTTTATAATGATTCACTCATACACATTTATTATAAGCATTATACTCATTTTAGTATATCAATAAACTCATTTTAATTATTCACACATACTAAACTCATTCTTATTAATAAAACTAACCATGTTTTCTACTACGTCTGTCCCACTAACATTGGAAGTGATGTTATTATTAAGGAAAAGTGAGTTCATGTGGTTGTTATTGAATTGATAAAGTAAGAGTAAAGTAAAAATGATTTGGAACCACATAAATTTTATTAAACTTGGTATGTGGCAATCTTAGTAGGACGAATAAAAAATAATAAAGATGAGACAATCTTTGCGGGATGGAGCGGGTACTTTGTTATAAATACATAAAATAATTTGAGAAGAATACATTAACCAACTTTACTTTGATCATTTTATGATGTCACATCAATGCACATTTCGATTTAGCGAAATACTCATAACTAATTTCTTTTAATGCACATTTATTTTAAACATTATACTCACTTATCTGTAACATAATTTTCATTTATATCATTCACACACATGATATATTCAAGGCAAACCAAATTGATTTACTCAATTATTGAATTTTTTACCGATGTGAAATATAACAATTTTAGCAAGAAAAATAATTTATAATTCCCATATTCTAAACCTAACAATTCTATTGTCTTTATTTTACAAAATCTCAATAATACACATTTAATTTAAACAATATACTCATAGTTATTTGGAAGTTTGGAGCTTTTAGTGAAAAGTGAGAAAAATGATGTTTTGTAGAATTATCATTCAATATATATACTTTTTTGAAATCCTTGCATAAAAATAAAAAACAAATACTAGAAAACATACATAATAATATTAATAAAAAGCATCGAAAAAGTAGGAGCTCAAAAGTAGAAGTAGACAACATAAAAGGTACATCATACTACGTACTATGGATGGACTCGGGCCGGATGGCCCGACCCGGAATCGGCCCGGGACCGGTACTGTTCCGGTCCGGTCCGGGCCGACCCGGTGGCCCGGTCAGTGACCGGTCCGGGTAGGCCCGACCCGTGGGTTTTCCGGTCCGGGCTCGGGTCACCCAAAACAAGGTCCGACCCGGCCGGGCCCGGGCCCGGTTCGGGCCAAAATTGATATTTTTTTCATTTTTTTTTTAAATTTTCGGGTTGGGCTGGGTATTTTGAACCATTTGGGGTGGTTTGGGGGGTTGGGGGTGGGAGGGGGTTAATTAGGAAGAGGAAAAAAAATTGATAATGGACCCGACCCGGACCCGGTGGTTACCCGAGCCGGTCTCGGGTCCACCACTCCTGAACCGCCGGCCCGCCCGGGCCTAGGCCCGACCCGGACCCGAGTCCACCCCTACTACGTACGTATACATACTACGTATACAATATAATGAAGAAAGTTAGAAAGAAAAAACAAAAATGGAACCTGCACGCGTGATGCATCAGAAGAAAGGAGAAGACAACTAGGATATCCAAATTACTAACCTCAATGTAACAAATAATTACAAAAATATGGGGTGTACACATACACTCGGGTGTAAGATATAATTAACATACAAAACGTGTTACTTCATGGCCTTCCCTAAATAGAAGTATAAATTTTTATGATGTACTTTTACAAAAAATAAACTTCACACTTTCTTTTTTGGGCCGGTCCAAAATAAATTTCACACTTCTTCTCTCTTCCTTATTTGACAAATTATCTACATCAAAACAATGCAAAATAATGTCAAACAGTGTCAAAACAGTATGTGTACTATACAGTAATATCAAATTTATTTCCTTAATTTGTGTGAAATTGAATTTTATTTAGCACGAGAGTACTTTAACCAGTTTAACGTAGACTCCGTGTACTAAAAGTTTGGCTAGGCTAACCACTTGATCAAGATAAGGATGTGCCGGAAAGTCGCCCAACACCATGGCTTGTTTTTATGAAGATATATTTCTCATTCGTCAATGACAAAATTGCAGCTTTTTTTAATCTTTAATTTTGTGTCAATATCACTCGCTAGCTTTTGCGCATGCCAACATCTCATTTTCTTCTTGCTTTAACCTTTCACTTTCTCTTAACCCCAATTCCCTCTACCCATTCTTTGGTTAAATGGAACTACTATAGTTCATTGAAATATTAGAGTATATGACATCTATCTACCAGCACGGGTAGCTCAACAGTGACCGAGTGAGTTAGTTGAATCGGGTAGTGAGGACGCATGAGGTAGTCGATCACTTTACTCTATTGGACTTTGTCAATTTTAATTTTCAATTTTGGTTGTTCAATGTGATGGGAGCATTAGGCAAGGGTTTAGCTACACGGCCATATTCACAGAATCACAGTGCCGACCTAATATCTACATTTTGGATGTTCAAAATTACACATATTCCTGTTTAAAATACTACTCCCTCCGTTCCTAAATAAACTTCCAACTTTCCTTTTTCGTTCGTTCCAATTAAAACTTCCATTTTACCTTTTTAGTAAAGAATTTGTGGTTCACAACATTTCTTACACATTTCTCTCTCCTCTGCACAACTCTCCACCACACAATACCCACTATCTTAAACTCTGTGCCAAACCTATTTGGAAGTTTTAATAGGAACGGAGGTAGTAATAAACAAATTATTACTCTAATATATATATATATATATATATATATATATATATATATATATATATAAGATCAAGTGAGAAGTCTCCCTTAAAATGAGAAATGAGAAGTAATCTCAGCCCTTGGATTTGCATCTAATCTTACAACGCAACAAATTTATAGACTGAATATAGGAACTTATAAACAATAAATCATACTCCCTCCGTCCCTTATAACTTTGCCAACATTCCTTTTTGGGTTGTCCCAAAAACTTTGCAACTTTCCCTATTAGTCAATCAATTTGTGGTTCATGTTATTTCTCTCTCTTCTGCACAAATCTCTACCACACAGTTTTTATTTTATTATTCTACGTGCTGGTCAAACTTGGCAATCCTTTTAGGGACGGAGGGAGTAACTTATAAAGCTCTTCATCGTAATTACGGAAATGCCACCGCGTCCAAAAATTTCCAAAGTCTCTAGACTTATTTTTTTGCGGTGGCATGTTCGTAATTATTTCGAGGGGTTTATAAGTTATGATTTATTGGTTAAAAGTTCCTGTTTTTTCAGTCTATAAGTTAGCTTCGTAGTTCTTAACCTAAGAGCACTTCACACCTGATCCGCTCTCTCTCTCTCTCTCTCTATATATATATATATATAAAGAGTGCTCATGGCCCAAAAATAAAGAGTCCATGAGCACTCTTGATTTTAAACAGGAATATGTGTAATGGGAATATATATATATATATAGAAAATACTATTCCCATTATATATATATATATATATATATATATATATATATTCCCATTACACATATTCCTGTTTAAAATACTAATAAATAAATTATTACTCTAATACACACATATATATATAAGATCAGGTCTGTATATATATTCCCATAATTTTTTTTTTTATTTTTGGGCCATGAGCACTCTTGATAAGAAGAGATCCCACCGTATATTAAACTCAGACTCCTCCCAAATTTACCGTATAAAAAAATTACATGGTATATAAAAAGTATTTTAAAAATTCTGTATATGGTCTAG